TACAATAATTTTTGTTTGTAAATTTTAAACGATGATGAGTTTTAATAGAACTAGCATGGTGGCGATCACCTCATTCGCAGGAGTTATTTTCACTTATGTATTGTTTGTTAATATAATAACCCTTTTTGGATATTTTTTCTTTAATAAAACGTTAAAACTTATTTATTGACTAAATTTTAAACATTTTCTGGGATTTTGTTTTAAAGGCGTATAAATTGGCCCATAAATGAATTATTAATACTGTGAGTCTAGAAACTGATATTACAAGCCTATGTTTGTTCCTAGTGTTTAAAGTATAAACATCTTTATTCTTATCAAAGCTGTTAATGTTTTTATATACATACATTAGATTTTCATAAATATATTGCGATGCCAAAGTTAATGTTTATTTAATTTAATTTTTCTCTAAGGGATACATTAAAATTTAAGTTATAAATCGCCCGTACGGCTCTCTTGGAAAACAAATATAGCTTCGATGTCAGTCGCATTACCCCATAGAAAAATTCCAGCAAAGATATTACGCTATGAAAGTAACTAAAATAAACGAATCTAGCTGTCTCAACATTGGTGAGACTTCTAATCTTTCTCACAGTATATGCTGCATAACTATGTCTGCTTGCTAATTTAAATTTATGTGGGCCCCATTGAAGCTTCGCGTCACCAGTAATACCAAGAAAAACTGTGATATCCAGAAGACTTAACTCCTATCCATTTAAGAGCATATTGGTATTTAAATGTTTAACATTAGGTATTGTAAATTTAATAAATTTTGTCTTATTGCCGTTTAAGAGCAAATTGTTGGCGTTAAACTATTGTACTTATTTCGATAGAGCATTATTTATATTGTCAAAATTAATATATATATATATATATATATATATATATATAAAAAAATATAATGACTATCGTTTGAGTTTGAAAATTAAAGAGGTATCATCAGCAAATAATACTATGTCGTATTGTCCCCTACAAGATAAGGTAACTCATTAATATAGACTAAGAACAGGAATGGGCCAAGAATCGAGCCTTGAGGAACGCTCATTGGTACTACTGACCCGGGGGAAACTTTGCCAATGATAACATCTTTTTGAGTGCGGTTATTTAAATATGAAATAATAAGTCTAAGCGCAATATTTTTGACACCGTAATGTTGTAGTTTCCTGATTACAATACAATACAAACACTCACGCCTGTTACCTAAAGGGGTAGGCAGAGACTACGGACTTCCATTTGGTGCGAACCTGACACACTTCTCTCGTCTCCTTTACATCCATATATCTACGCATACACGCTCGTCGGTTAAGGGTACTCCTAATCTGGCCCATTTTCAATGTATCGCCGATTTGGTCGATAAATCTTCGTCTAGGGCGTCCCTTCTCGACTTTGTCGTTCACTTCCGAAACATAAATTTGCTTTGTCACTCTTTCCTCGTTCATTCTTTCTACGTGACCAAACCACCGAAGCATTCCTTTTTTAATCCTAGTCACAACGTCATCTTGCAAACCACACTTTTCTCTTATCACACTATTTCTCACCCTGTCATTCAGATTCAGCCCTAGCATACTCCGTAATGACCGCATTTCTACAGCCTTTATTCTGCTCTCATGCTTCTTCTGCCATACCCAACTTTCACTACCATACATTAAAGTAGGGGCTAACACACCATTATGAATTGCCATACGTGCCTTCTTTGACACATTCTGACTCTTCATAATAGCTTTGTAGAGCCCCATTAATTCTATTTCCTACGTTCACTCGTCGTTCTATATCCTTGTCATATCTGCCATCCCTGCTAAATAAACATCCCAAATATACAATCTCATCCACTTACTCAATCAACTCACCTTCTATTCTTATTTCACATTTTACTTTCTTCTCTTTCAAAAACCATCACTGTCGTCTTACTTGCGTTCACTTTCATACCCCTTTCTTTTAATGACCAGTTCATTAAATTAACCATCATTTGCCACTCTGCCGACATCACTGCCGCCGACGATGCAAATATGACTTGATCATCGGCGTACAAAAGGCATTTGACGGTTGACTCACCCATTCTCAACCCACATTCTTCAACTTTCAAAGTTTGCAAACAACTGTCCATAAATAAGTTAAACAGCCACGGGGAAGCCACACATCCCTGTCTGACACCTTTATGAATGCCAAACCAGTTCGCGTAGACCCCGTTGATCCTGACACAAACACTCGAGTCCCTATAAAGAGATCTTAATGCCTGTATCAAGCCAGCGCTCAACCCAAATGAGTTCAGTGTTTGCCATAACACATTCCTGTCCACTCTGTCATAAGCCTTTTCCAAGTCCATGAACGCACAAAAAACTTTCTGGTTTTTAGCCAAAAACTTCTCCGCTATCATGCGCATGGAAAAGACTTGATCCGTACACCCCATCCCCTTTCTAAATCCAGCTTGCACATCCCAAATTTTTCCATCAGTTTCTTCCATAACTCTTTCAATTAACACCTTAGCATACAGTTTACCCACAATGCTAAGCAAGCTGATACCACGGTAGTTTTTACAGCCCTGCTGCGACGCCTTTCCCTTATATATTGGGACTATAACGGCTTTGCACCAGTCTTCCGGTACCCGTTTCAGTTCCCAACACAAATTAAACAAGGTGTGCAGCAGGCCTGTAACCACACCCTCACCAGCCCTCAGAATTTCGAGTGATACTCTATCATATCCGGCTGCCTTACCTGCTTTCATGCTTTTCATTGCTTTCATTATTTCATCTACACTTATCTCCCTACCTTTCTCCACTTCTTCCGGAATTTCTATTTCACTTATTCCAGACGACTCTTCACTCTTAAACACGCTTTCAAAGTATTCCTTCCATCTCTTTAAATTCGAAACTTCATCATTCAGCATGCAGCCATTCTCGTCTCGTATAGCATTTATTCTAGGCTGTTTTGAATTTCCCCTGGCAGTTCTTACGAGCTTCCAGAACATTTTAATATTTGCCTGGAAGTTATCAGATATCCTTCTATCATTCTTATCTATCCTTTCTTGCTTTTTCCTTTCAATAACTTCTTTTACTCTCTTATTTATACGTCTAAAGTCTGCCTTTTTTCTTTCAATCTCATCATTCATACCGCCAGAATTACCAGCTTTAGTTGCTAGTAAATCTAGCCATGCTCTCTTCTTTGCTTCAACTTCCATCCGTACCTCATCATCCCACCACAACGTATTACTTTTCTTTTCATTCGTTCTCTTACTTACACCGCATACTTCGGTGGCCGCATCCACCAAAACTTTCTTAATATTATTCCATACATTCTTCAATTCTAAATCATTCATACATAATTCATTCAACCCACTTATATTTTCCCTCAATCTGCATTTATACTTCTCTTTCACACCTTCTTCTTGTAACCTCTCTATTCTTATACGCTGTAACGCAGTGGTAGACACCGATGTCCGATGCCGCCAACGTCTGAATAGACCATTAATTCGACATAAGACCAAGTAATGATCCGTCCCTACGTTGGACCCCCGGTAAACCCTTGTATCTACCACTGCGCTCCTCATTCTTTCATCCACAATTATAAAATCTATCATGCTTCTATCATCCCCTCTTTCCCATGTATACATGTGAATCCTCTTATGGCGAAAGAAAGTGTTCGCCACACAAAGATTCTTTTCCACACATACGGTGAGGAGGTCTTCACCATTCTCATTTATTCTTTCATCGCCAAACGTTCCTAATATCCTTTCATAACCAGACCTCTTCACCCCAACCCTTCCATTAAAATCTCCTAACATAATAATATTTTCATTTTTCTTACATTTCATCAACACCAGCCTTACCATGTCCCAAAACTGCTCTCGGATATAAGTGGGCTTAGACATATCTGGGGCGTACACCCCTAGCACAAACAACTTCTTTAAGCCCACTTTCATTCGCATCCACAGCAGCCTTGGGCTAACACATTCATACTCTTTCACACATTGACCCATTCTTTCTGAAAGGATGACACCGACTCCTTGGCATGCCCGCTCGGTCTCGTCTACTCCAGACCAGTAAGCGGTATACATGCCATGTGCAGTGACATCTCTTCCCTTTCGTTTCGTCTCGTTTACACATAACACATCTATTCCTCTATCATTCATCATTTCGCATACTTCATCCATCTTATCATTCATTGCTACACATACATTCAGCGTGGCCAGACGGGCCTCCGCAATCCACTTTTCGCCCCCCCGGGAGACAGGACGTGACGGGTGGCGAACCTCGTCGCCAGTTTTTCTCCCGGAGATTCTTCGCACCCCTGCCCCATTAAAGGGGCGCCGGGAACTCGGGGCCATTTCTTTTCCTTCTTGGCTCATGGTGCGAACTAAGTGGTGGTAGATTTTACGCCGCTACCATACGGCGAGGAGCCGAGTCTGTCGTTTCGGCTTTGTCGCTCGTTTAGCACCACCCGGGGGACACGTGTAGGGTGGGCCTAGGATTAGGTGGTCGAAGCCTACGGACGCGAGCGACTCATCCACTCATTCCTGATTAATATCTCAAAAATACCTAAGGTATCTTGTGAACTCTCCCAGACATTAAAATATATTTCATAAGCTCGACACCTGCGTCAGTCATCGAGTGACCAAATTGATTTTTATGGAGTAATTTATTTTTATTTCAAAAATTAACAATTGATCTAGAATTAGTGATTGTGATAGAAAGATAGTGCAATTCGCGAGCGTACAGTGCAGACGTGTTAACAAGGTTTTTCTAAATTCTTTATTAACTAACAAATGGATTTGAATCATATGTCAACAGTGGAATACCTATTTTAACTTAAATCAAGCATCGAATATTATACCCTTTATAATTGACTGAAAGTGAGTGCCTGGCGCCGGAGCAGCGACGCGAAAGCAAGACGGCCAAACAGCTGCAATATTTATCCTGCTCGCACAAAATACTCAGATGCAATACGCGCTTAGGGCGCGTCCACACTAGAGAGGTTTTTTGATTTTTCTTTTTGATTTTTCTTAAACAATGAGCACATTACGATCACCACCTGGACGTGGAAGCTCTCAACCCGATTTATCGATGTTAAATGCTGAAACAACCGACTTACAACACACACTTTTTCGGGCAAAGAGAAAGTATCCTGAACATGAATGTATCAGCTCTGAACAGTTTGCCGATTTTCGCAAAGAAATGACCAGTATTTTGAGAGACTTTGTTGAGTCTCAAAACAAAGTTCTGGGTAAGATATCTGATGATGTTTCTGTAATAAAAGAAGAAATAAAAAATTTACAACTTACTATACAAAATATAATTACTGAACATAACAAACTTAAATTTGATGTTACTGATCTGGAGGCATCCCAAGTTGATACAAAAGAAAAAATTGATAAATTAGAAGCTAACATTGAAGAGTTAAAAACAAAATCGGACAACAAAAGTATTGCAGTGGATTTAAGCTGCGATGAAATTTTTTCTGAATTACAAGAACGACATCTTAGAGAGAAAAATTTGGTAATTGTGGGAGTCCCAGAGGCTAAAGGAGAGAACTCCAAACAAAGATATACATCTGATATGGGTGAAATTATAAAAATAATAAAAAAATCATGTCCTGATCCTATACAAGTGCGACGTATTGGCAAATATAACCACAAGAAAACCCGACCAATAAAAGTAAGTCTCCCGTCGCAAGAAATAGCTAAATGTATTTTACGAAATAAATCAATCCAGACAGATAGTTCAATAAAAATATACTCAGATAAGACTGCCTACCAACAGCAAAAAATAAAAGAACTCAGAAAAGAATTAGAACGTCGGACACAAAATGGCGAGGAGCACTTACTGATAAAATACTTAAAAGGCATGCCCAAAATCATTAGAAATCAATCAAAAAACTAAATAATGAAACACTTAAATAGATTAACTTCACTGCAAGCGTAAAATCAGCTTATTTACAAAATCAGCGTAACAATATAACTTATCAAGCTGTCAACAGTTACACAAACTTAAATAGAAGTACAAGATCATTGAATTTTATGTATGCTAATGTACGAAGCCTGGTTAAACCTGGAAAACTTGATGAACTTAAGTGTATTGTATCATCCTTGCATAAAGTTCACGTCATCATATTGACTGAGACGTGGATAAAATCCGAAAACGAAGCACAAAGACTTAAGTTACCAAATTTCACTCATTACTATAAATTTAGATCCCATTCTAGAGGTGGAGGAGTCTCAATCTATGTTCATAATAATTTAAAACATTATTTTGTAGAAAGCAAATGTGAAGAAGATAATCACTATCTATGGATACACTTAAAAAGATTTTCACTGGATATCGGAGCCATTTACAAACCAGAAAGAACAAACGCTAGTAACTTTTTGAAACATTTACACAAATAGTTCAGAGCCACAAACGAGCAATAATTTTTGGTGATTTCAATTTTAATCTACTTAAAAAGGGACGCTAGTTGAAGACTACAAAAATGTCATAAAGGAAAATGGATTCACCATATTAAATAAAATAAATACGACATATTGTACACGCGAAACATCAATTTAGATCATGTCAGCTCTAATTTAAAAGAACACGACTTTCATATGGCAATAATAGAATCCGCATTATCAGAAAGAACATAAACAAATATATTTTGAAGTAAAATAATACAAGCCCAAAGCTACGATAAGAATTAAATATGAAGCTATAAATTACCAAAACCTCTACTGCGACATGATGAATATGAAATACACCAATGATCAATATATAACAGTTAAAGAATCTATCCAATTAGCTATAAAAAGAAACAAAGTAATGAAAACCAAAATATTGAACCCTCCTCAACAGGACTGGATAAATAAGGATATATTAGAAAAAATTGACAGACGAAATGAGTTATGGAAGAGTTTTAAGCAAAATCCGGGAAACTTAGAAATTGAAAAAAAATTCAAGAAAGAAAGAAATGAAACCTTCGAACTTATTCAAACTACAAAAAATGAATACTACAATAAAGTCTTTAAAACTTGTATTGGTAAGTCTTCCAAAATGTGGCAACTTATAAGTAAATAACCTATCAAACAACAAAACAAAAGACAATTTTGCACCCACTCGTCTATTAACTGCTGAAGGCACTATTACGGACCCGCAAAACATCTGCGAAAAATTTAATGAATATTTCGCAAATATATGTATTATTATGGCAAAACAATTTCCATGTCAGTATCATCAAAAATATTTACATACAGTGCAAAATAGACCAAACAAATTTATTAAAATATTTGATCAATTTGCATTAACTACATTTGAGGAAGTTAAAAAAATCATAGACAATCTCAAATTAAACAGTAGTACAGGTGTTGACGGGATCAGCTCTAAAACTATTAAATATATAAGAGACCCTATATCTTTTTGCTTAACAAATTGCATTAATTGATGTATTCAGGAAGGCTATTTCCCTGACTCACTGAAGCTTGCCAAAGTCACTCCAGTCTATAAATCGGGACCTAAGCATGAGCCAGGCAACTACAGACCAATATCAGTACTTCCTACTATATCAAAAGTTTTTGAGAAAATTTTACATAAGCGCCTTAGTGACTATTTAATCTTAAACAAACACCTCTATGAGCATCAGTATGGCTTCAGATCAAAATCAAACACCCTTTCAGCATCAATTGATCTCATTACAAAACTTAAAACCAGTATAGACCAAAAACATATAGCCCTTGGAGTTTTTATTGATCTAAAGAAGGCATTTGACAGTAAGCCATGAAATTCTTCTACTCGTATGTGAGCTTTCTGCACTCGGTATAGCTGGATTAGCACTAGAAATGATAAAATCGTATCTGACTAACCGTTTTCAAGTAGTTTAAATAGATAAACATGTTAGCAACCCTAAGCCTGTTCAATACGGTGTCCCCCAAGGGTCAATTTTAGGGCTTTTGCTGTTTTTAATATACAGGGTAATTTTTAATTTACTGAAGACCTTTTGGGAATATATTATTTACATCATAACAACAACATCTGTAAGAAAAGAAATTATATTTCTTCAATTTTTATTTTCATACAAAAATAAAAATATTTTAATTGGACCTTCTAAACGGCAATAGTCCTAAATAGCAAAATAAAGCGCGTGGCGGGGTAGGGGTGGAGGGGTGTAGGAGGCGGCGCTTGCTCATTTGAACTTGACCTAATTATCTGTGTCGTCAGTCGGTCAGTCGCCTTTTGTGCGCCCGCGACTTTTCTCCTTCCGTTGTGAGATTAATATCGCGAACGTTACGCGTAATACAATGGCATACCGATACTCAAATATTGAGTATACCGAAATGGTGCGAATTTTAGCAATTTGCAATGATAACGTTAGTGAAGCCTGCCGTGAATATTCAAGGCGATTTCCCAACTCACGTGCACCGAGCTACGCTAAGATGCTAGGTACTACACAGCGATTGCGAGGTTACGGGCAATTCCAGCCTGTATCAATCGATCGTGGTCGTCCACCGCGGCGCACAGTACGTGAGCAGGAAGACATACTGCAGTTTTTTGAACAAAATCCAGCAGCAACCACTTATGAGGCAGCCCGACAGCTCCATGTGTCACAGTACTACGCATGGAGTGTCATACACAATGAAGGGAAGTACCCTTTCCACTTGCATCGTGTTCATGAACTCAGCGAAGCTGACAAACCAGCGCGAGTTACATTTTGTAACTGGTTACTAGCTGCTGAACGAGCCAACATTTTATGGACTGATGAAGCAACATTTGGCAGAATAGGACTATTTAATTCGCACAATGAACACTTGTGGTGCTATGAAAATCCACATGAACCAAGACCGCATAGCTTTCAACACCGGTTTAGTGTCAATGTGTGTTACTGGGCCTAGGTTAGTCTAATTTTTAAATTTGTATTTTAATATTTTTATTGAACCATTATACCTTAATATCTTTATTCAATTACTGTTAATTTGTATTTAATCATTATAAATATTTTATTGTAATATTTATAATTATTTTAACCTGCATCCATTTTTTAAATACAACTTACAATAAATAAAAAAATTGTTAATAATACTCATTTAATTTGCACGTGCTGCAAACATCGATCACCAAATCGATGCCTGCAAACCGAAAAGGACAGGCGGCGCCTTTGATGACGGTGACACCTGTGTCGACGTTATAATATATCCTTGGCTTGGCCTTGGGCCGCCGCATGTGCGACGTTGAGGCGTTGCCTCTTGGATGCAGGCAGAGTTGCTAGCAAACAGTATTCGTAAAAAAACTACCTAAATGTCTATTAAAGAATGTCTATTAATTCTTAAAGAAATTAATAAAAGAATCAAATAGTCCATCAAATGGTTTTATGCAAAATAAAGAAGTATATGAAAAGTTAATGTAAAGTCATTTAAAGTGGCGCCCTGGTGGAATAGGCACAGTGATGAATGGTTTAGTAGGCTCTCGCAACTAGGGTTACCATATCTCGGGATTTGTCCTGAGATTTCAGGATTTTTAGACTCTTCTCAGGATTGCGGATGGATTTTGCAAATCTCATGAAATCTCTGGATTTTTAGAACTTTTAATATAATACAGCTTACATTTTAAAAGATCTCTCAATAAAAAGTTAAACAAACTAAAAATAATTTTCCTTTGGTAATAATTCCACAATTAAAATCAAAACTTATTTATCCAAGTAGGTACTTAAACAGTTTTATCATACTTAATATGTGAAGATACCTTTTTAAGTAAGGTTTTCTTCTCAAACTGTAAAACAATCTCAGGATTTTTAAATGGAAATCAGGCCTCTTCTCCGGACTTTTAATTTTTTCATCTGGTAACCCTACTGGCAACGCAATCAGCTGAGCGCGGGCGTCGACCGGCCCGGCGGCAAGAATTACTTATATATTTTAATTTTTGTGGTTTTTTTTTGAATGTCATTTGCTCATTTAATTATGTTTAATGATTTCAACACAATGTTTGATACTGTATCAAGTGTAAAAATGCCTTATTTAGGCATTTTCTTTGACGATTTATTCTGACATTGTTTAGGTACTACAAAATACAGACTTAAAAGGAGTCAGACATGACAACAAAACCTTAAAAGTAGTTTTTTCGTAAATGTATTATATTCTGTGAAGAGTGATCTCACTAAAATTGTTTGTAATGATGTAACCAATATATTCCCAAAAGGTCTTCAGTAAATTAAAAATGACCCTGTATATAAACGATATAAACAACATAGGCTTAAAGGGACATATCACCTTGTATGCAGATGATACCTGCCTCTTTTATTTTGGACAGAGCATCAATTCATTGGAGGCCCAGCAAGACCTCAATCTCTTGCAAGAATGGTTCTCGTGCAATTTGTTGACTATCAATGTGTCAAAAACAAACTATGTCATTTTTTCTGCCAAAAACAAAAAGTTCCAGACTTCTCACCTCTTACAATAAATGGTGCTCATATACTGGGTAAGAGTGCACTTTTACATTTTAAAATAAAAACAAGTATTTTATGACAGAGTTGTGATATTTTTATTGTATTGTAAAGAAGACATGTTCCGATTAAGTATGGAATAAAATATCCGGGAAATGACCCCCACGGCTCCGATGACAGGCCATTACTCTTTTCATGAAATTTTCCATGACTTTTGCACAGAGATGTGGCTGTATCTCACCGATGACGCGTTGGATTTCCGATTTCCGAATTCCGAGATTTCACAAAACCCCAAAGAAAAAAATCGCACGGCGTTAAATCACACGATCTTGGTGGCCAGTTGACATCAGAGTTTCGTGAGATAATGTGTTCTGGAAATCGTTGCTGTAATAAGTCGATTGTTTCATGAGCGGTGTGGCAGGTTGCGCCGTCCTGCTGAAACCACATGTTGTCCACATGCATGCCGTCTAGTTGAGGCCACAAGAAGTCCGTTATCATATTCCTGTAACGAATGCCGTTCACAGTCACTGCAATTTCGGCCTCATTTCCAAAAAGTAAGGTCCAATCACGCCGCCTGACCAAAATCCGCACCAGACAGTTACTCGTTGTGGGGGCATTTGTTTCTCATGGATTGCATGAGGATTTTCTGAGTCCCAAATTCGACAATTTTGTGTATTCACGAAGCCATCAAATGAAAATGCGCTTCATCGGAGAAAATAACTTTTTCCGAAAAATTGGTATCGACTTCACTTTGCTCCATTACCCATTGAACGAATTGCCAGCGCTTTCCGTGGTCTGCTGGTTTGAGCTCCTGAGTTAACTGAATCTTGTACGCATGAAGGTGGAGGTCTTTAGTCAAAATTCGCTGCGTAGTGCTTCGTGAAATTTGAAGTTGTTGAGAAAGATGTCGAATTGATGTTTTCGGGTTTTCGGCAACACTCTCGTTTACAGCAGCAATGTTTTCAAGAGACCGACCGGTACGTTGACGCAAAGGATTCTTATTATCCATAATTGAACCAGTTTCTTCAAATTTTTTAACCACTCTTTGAATGGTTGACACATTGGGTGCACTTTCTCGGCTGAAAATTTGGCGAAGTTTGCGAGCGGTTTCAGCGTAACTTTCCCCATTTTTGTAATGAGTTTTCACAATTATAACGCGTTGGTCTTTCGAAAACCTCTCCATTTTTAATAATGGGAATAAACAGAGATGACAGCTGTCAAATTTCAGAGTTGCCACTTGCATGAAAAAAAAAATAATCCAAATTTAAAAAGTGCACTCTTACTGAGACACCCGATAAATAGAGCAAATAAGGAAAAATACCTAGGACTTATTTTAGATAACAGGTTGTCATGGAAGCCACACATTCAGAAAATAAATTCTAAATTGTCTTCATTTTTAGGAAGTGTGCGAAATAAAGTAGGATGTCTGCCACAAAATGTTCGATATATTTTATATAATACACTTATCAAACCAAATATTGACTATTTAATCGAGGTATGGGGATCAGCGCATAAAACTAATTTACGTAGACTACAAACTAACCAAAACAAATTAATCAAGGCACTATTTCATTATAAATATTTAACACCATCTACTTTGATATATAAAGAAACCAAATTATTAAATATATCATAAATATATCAATATAAAACTTGCATATTAATACGTAAAATACTTAAAAACGACATTCATTCGCAAATATTGTTTAAAAAAAATATAGATTTTCACAAGCGTAACCTAAGACGAGCCAATGATATATACATACAAAAAGTTAGAACTGAGTATGGTAAGAAAAATATAATGTTTGACGGTGCAAAATTGTATAACGCTTTACCTAAAAATATAAAAGAATCAAAAACATTGCCTCTCTTTAAAAAATTATTGAAACGCCATATTTTGGAAAATTAACCACAACAAATTGATATTAAATGTGAATTAGTTTGTAGGCACCCTTATTTCAGTTTTCGTTTGCATATTAGTTGTTCGGTTATTACAATTTCTGCGCGATGCTCAAATCTATGTTTACTGTTCTTTTAAATTGTTTACGTTTTACCCAGAACTATACTTAATATTTCTGTATGCTCGTAATGTATACCTTTATTACTGTTTTGTAAATTGTTAAATTTCTCGTGAGTGATTTGTAATCTTTTGAGAAATAAATAATATCTTAAACCTAAACCTAATCTAAAATTATCTTTAAAAAAAAATTACTAAGAGTTTGTAGCACAGAAATAGGTGAGGTCCAATGTACTACTAGGTTTAAATAAAGGTATTACTTTACCATGTTTATTTAAATTAGGAAACACACCAGACTCGATACTAGTATTAAAAATAATAGCAAGATGAG